ATGAGCTTGCAATTGCAGGATGTCATTACATGTAGGCTTACGTAAATATTTTGGACCATAAAACTGAATCACAGTTTTGTAGAAAAAATGGAGGCTATCTCGTGCTATCCTAGCAGACATCCTAAAACTTTCGTCTAACGCATCAGGCGGAATGCCATATGCTAACCGACGAAGTGCGGCCGTGCATTTTTGTAACGGAGTGAAACCGAGTGTACCTCTAGCACCGTAGCGTTGTTGGAAAAAACTGCACTCCCTCGTTACATCTTCAACTATACGTTCGAATAAACCTTTGAGCATTCTGAAGCGCCTACGAAAGTAATACTCTTGGTAAGTGGCATTCTCTGCAAAATAGTCTTGCACCAAACGTTGGTTGGCTTCTTCACGATTTCTGTAAATATATATTCGTGTTCTCTGTTAAGAACTTGCAGCTGCGTTGTTACATACAACGTTGTATGTTTGTTCCGCTATTTAAACACACGCAATAGCGGTATCAAAAATAATCTGAAATTCTTCAGAAGATGATATTTTTGGGAGAGTGGTGATTTAAATAAAAAAAATTGAGAGAGAGGAGATTGTGTTGTGAAAAAAAAAAATTAAGTTGATATGTGTATATATATAGGAAAGAAAAAGCAAAAGAAAAAAAAAAGAAAAGAAAATTACACGAATATTGCATTCAACGGTCAAAAGATGACCAACCAATCAGAATTCACGGTCTTCAAGGACCGCACCGCGGTCTTAACCACAGGAAACCGCACCATGAAGGCGGTGTTCCATGTTGAGGTGACAGCCAACCACGGTTTGGGACCGCACCACACCGTGTAGCCTAAGAGAGATTGTCTCCCTTGAGCAAATCGAATCGGTTCCTCTTCAAGTTTTAGGATGTGAGTTTTCATTGTCCGACGTCATTGATGCCTAGCACATAGATGAGTGGTGGCTGGGGAAGAGTATCAAAACAAAAAGTCAAAGTCTTTGGTGTATTTTTAGAATCCAAGGAAAGATATTTTGTTCTCGTTAGATTTGTTATGGGTTCCTCAAGAGTGGATCGATAATATTTAGGCATCTGCACTAAAACCATTGGGACCATTATAAAATGACTAAACATGCTACCTTTTGTAAACTGTAGGGATCGATTGTAAAGTTTTGTCTAAATTTTATTTAATGAAACGGTTATCGTTTTATTGTGTATGTTGGGATTTTTATCGGCTTGGATTTATAATTAATGTAAATCTATACGGTTCGATTTCCTAGTGAAATTTCAAACCTTCATTTGATTTCAGTGGAGAATCATCGTAGGTTTTGGAGTTTTTGTATTTTCTGCAACTCAATTTCGGAAGAATATTGATCTCAGTCGTGTTTTAGGGTTGATTCGTTGTAATGTTTGTAACATTGGGATGAGATAGGAACCAAATTACGATCCTTGCAATGCATTTTATTTTGTATATTGATTTGAAAATCAGTGGTCAAAGTGATCATTTTAGCTAAAACAAAAACTCCAAATCTAAAAAATATTTTAAGTAGCTTTTAACGAGAACTCTTATAACTTTACAAATTGATTTAATTACCCTTTTATAAAATCGTGTTTTAAATAAGTCATTTTATGTAATTTCATATGTTTTAAAAGCTTTCGGCTGCCATTATCAATTATTATCAATTAGTTTTGATGAACACTCCCTTAATCATGTATGTTAATGAGAGGCGATGTTAACTTGTTAGAAAATGAAAAATCTTGATTTATTAATGTCCTATAAAATAAATCGCTACAAAATCATTTAAGACAAGCTATTAACTAATCATCTCCTCCACAATGTACGTGTTCTTCCATAACAATCGATATTATTGGTCTCTTGTGGTTGACCTGTAACGTTTAAATCAGAACACAATAAAACAAAATTAATGAGAAAAATAATACAAAGTTGACTTTTAGATAAAAGCAATTTAATGTGTAGATATAATAATTGAACTCATTATACATTAGTAGACTTACCATTGAGCACGATATTGCTTGGTAAAATAGTACGTGAGTAAGCTTGAAAGAACATCTTATTCTCTTTTAGTAGTTCTTCCCATACTATATTTGTATTTTCAATATTAATATGTACACTTGATTAGATTATACAAATAGGAAATTATTTGTAAAAATACTATGTATACGTATAATGAGTTAGTAACCTGTAAACGCGACAGTTGGATGGATGTTGGCATGCTTAGCGAGTGTCCTCATGCAATCATCTCGTCCCATACGAAAGAGTATGCATCTTTCTATTAAATGATGCACCTGTAACGTTAAATATTTCACATATAAATATTACTTTTTTTATAAAGTTAATAAATATCATGTTAAAAGATATAATTTATGTAAAATCTCTTATGGGTAGACGACTTTATGTCAAAACAATTTATCGAAACACACACACACACACACACATATATATATATATATATATATATATATATATATATATATATATATATATATATATATATATATATATATATATATATATATATTACTCACCATTTTAATGAAGCCTTGAGGTTAACAATGTAAGCATGGGAGCTTATGGCTTTCAATCCTTCTCATATCTTTTTTTTTTTCTCTTGTAAGTGATATATTTCACACGCATTTATATGTGTGTCAAGTAATAATATCTTGTCGATCTCACCAACAGTTCAATTAGTTTGATATTTCTTGTGTAGATATTTGTTTATTTTAATATAAAGTGGTACGAAATCTAGTTATCCATAGGGATATCTAAGTGAAGGGCCAAAATAGCCTGGGAAATCTATTGGTGATAACTGATAAGTTTCTGGTCTACTTTATTTGGACTTTTCTTTGGATGGACTGAGTATAATGATGGCCCTATATACCATGAGACCAAAAGACTGATTTATAAAAGGCAATGTAGTTACTAGTAGGCCCATAGACTTATGATACACATAAGCCCAATAAAGCTTCATCGACATTTGAGTTTAGAGTGTAGAGGTAGAAGAGAGGAAAACTTGCAATCACAATTACTTTTTAATAATATAAATAATTTAGTTTTTTAGTTTATCAAAATACGAAATGAAAAAAAATACAATAATCTCATTTATCAATTTTGAAGACATAATAAAAAATTTATCAAACAGCTAAAATAGTCACTGATTTAGCAATTCATATGCGAGATCAATAAATGAATTGAGGACAAAGAACCACATCAAAGTAAAGGGGTATCTTGATTTTTTTTTGAGGTATCACTGCAATGGATGAGCATAGGCCAGGTCGGTGTTTCGGTTTTCGATTTGTAATTGGGTTTCCCCAGTTTGGTTTTGATTTTAAACCCAAACTATAATTAAATCCTTAGCTAACCTCAAGTCTTATTTTATAAACATGAAGTTGAAGTATCTTTTGATACTTGAATCGATGTGGGACTCAAAGTAGATATCAAATGAAGCATGATGATAACAAATTTATATAATAGATGAAAATGGATGACTTTACTGTTTACATGTGTTTTGTAACCACTGCTTCAATAAGTCAACATCTTAACCGATAGACTAGCTATTTGTTTGTGTTTATAAGTGAACGGATGAGCATATATACACTTCAAAAAATGAAAATTTCCTAAAAAAAGGATGCTACCGAAAAAAATTTGAGGGGCATCCCGGGATACCCCTTGGATCCGCCCCTAACAAGGAAACGTCGTTTTGGTATGTGAGAAATTTTATTGAGCTGCAGAATGGGTCGCAAAGAGTCTCCATAAGGCATTTTTTCATCTTTCTTTCATATTTATATTATTTTGTAGATAATCTGATTAATATTTAGCGATTCATATTTGAAATAAATAAATAGGCTAGGGATATGTTTTGATATGTGAGAAGTTTTATTGAGTTACAAAATGGATCGCGAATGGTCCCCATAATGCATTTTTTTCATCGTTATTTCATATTTACATTATTTTTTAGATAATCTGATTAATTTAGCAATTCATATGTGAAATCAATAAATAAACCGAGGACAAGGAAACGTCGTTTTGGTATATAAGAAGTTTTATTGAGCTGCAAAATGGGTCACGAATCGTCCCCATAATGCATTTTTTCATCTTTCTTTCATATTTACATTATTTTTTTGAGTTGAAAACTCTTAAATAAATATTTTTTTGTTAATTTTACGAAAAGAAATTGAGAAAATGTTTTTATAGAGGTTTTGTAGGTAAAACATATATTTTCGTACACGGTATGTGTGCTTTAAAAAAAGATCATTTGTCTTAAAAATGATGTCATTCGATGATTTTGCAAATGACATGTTTATTTCGTGTGAGCATGATGGCTATTTTAATTATTATGTTAATAAGTAATAAATAGATCAAAACATATTTTTCTTTTTTTTTTCATCCAAAAAAGGTTCATAAAAAATGAAAAAACTATAGGATTTTTTTTTTATTTAAACCTAAGGCTTTTAAAAGAGTGTTAATTAACAAGCTTTTTTCATGAACTTTTTAAATAATTGTATAGGTCCATGTGTTTTCAACCAATTTCAAATAAAAAAACTCATAAAAACCAAATTAGAAAAGCTCTCATATTAAAGAGATAAAAAAATTTCGATTTAAAGTTTTTCCATGCACTAACAAATTCTTCTATTTTTGATGTTTTTATATATATTTGTCTTTTTCTCTAATAATAACTTTTTTATTAACCGGCAAATATATAGAGTGTAACCCGACCCGATGAATCAGGAATATCTGGCGGCCACCAAGAGGGGCACCACTCACCACTAAAGGGAACGAAAAATCAAACCCACGCAAATCCAAAGAAAATCTCCTAAATGTGCTCAGTCAAGAATCGAACTCTTGACATCACCCACTGATGCCTATAAGTATAACCCATGACGCATCACAAACATCTATCATAAATGATGTGAAATGTTTTAACTTTAACTTCATGTTTATTAATGTTTGTAGTTTAACAAATCTATTTGTTTTGGTTTAGTTGGTTAAATTCTAGACTTCTAAGGGCTTAATTGTCAACTGTCAGCAGTGTGAGGGTCAAGTACATCATCATGAACCCTAAACCCTAATATTTTAGGAGAAAGAAGAAAAAGAACGATATCAGTCCTTGAACCACACTGGCGCTTAAAGAGTGTTTGAAATTGCTTTCTGAAATAGCTATCGACTTAAGCCCAATAAATTTAAAAGAAAAATGTTTGGGTATAAGGACAATGATTTTTGGAACTAAAAAACAGTTTTTGATAAGTAAAGATAACCTGATTTATTGAAGTTCAAATGACCTATATACCCCCAAAAATATAACCCTCGTTCACAGCCCCCTTAACGTTCACCTGCATCTTCATCGCCGACCCTTCTCCGCTCCAGACCTCCTATTTCCGGCGCCGGCTGCGGTCTTCTCTTTCTCCGATCACCTGGTAAGTCCCGCATTCTTTTTCTGGTTTGGTAAGCACATGCTTTTTTTTTCTGGAATCGATACATGATTTCTTGTCAGATTTTGAATGTAGAGGTTAGTTTATGTCTGACTCCTGGTTTCTGGTTTAGTTTTAATCCCAATTTCTTTTTCTGTGAATCGGTACATCCTGTATTCAAGCTAAGTTTTTTTTTTTTTTTGGAATCGATGTAGCACAGATTACTCTGGATACTGCTAAGATATTTTTCTGGTCGATTTCAATTATACACAACCCATTAGTATTTAACTATAATTGATGTTGTTCGTTTACAAATGACATCGATTGAATTTTGGAATTCCATTAGTAGCAGTTGATTTTGCACAAGTATTGAAGGTAGTACACCATTTTTTTCTTATAACAGAAGCTAGAAATTTACATTTTACTTTATAAGAAACGTAAATAAGTTATTAGACTATTATGAACAGAATCAATCTCAGTTTCCAAATACTCCATTTAACATCAACTAACTTCAGCTCGTTTTCGTTTTCTTTTGCTTAGCACATAGAGGAAATCCCTCATCATTCATCACATTAGGATTCAGTTACTAGTCTGTATCACAATTGCAAAGGATGTTGCCTACTGATCCTATGAAGAAGTTATCATTCAAGCGACACATTAGTGATGGAGATTTGGTTATAGTATACGAAAAACACGACAACATGAAGGCTGTAAAAGTATCAGAAAAGTCTGTTCTTGAGAACCGATTCGGTGTTTTCAAGCATTCAGATTGGATTGGGAAACCATTTGGCTGCAAAGTATCTAGCCACAAGGGTGGATTCGTTTACTTATTAGCTCCAACTCCTGAGCTATGGACATTAGTTTTAAGCCACAGAACTCAAATTCTTTACATTGCTGACATCAGCTTTGTGGTCATGTACTTAGAACTGATTCCCGGTTGTGTTGTGCTTGAATCTGGAACTGGAAGTGGATCTTTGACAACTTCACTAGCAAGAGCCATTGCTCCTACAGGACATGTCTATACATTTGATTTCCATGAACAAAGAGCTATAGCTGCTAGGTAAGACCTTTATACATTTTGTCACTTATACAGGATCTGTTTGATAGTTGCTGATTGAGTCAAACCCAACTGTTATCAGACTCAGTAAGAAGCATATCATATCATATCATATCAGAGGCTTCTAACTGTGGTATCAAACAGTCTGAATCTGACTGAGGCATATGGAACAGGCCCATATACTCTTAATTTCTTGTTAGACTTATGATATTTATTTTGTTGCAAAACAGAGAAGATTTTGAGAAGACAGGATTGAGTGATTTGGTGAGTGTGGGAGTGAGAGATATTCAGGGTGAGGGGTTTCCTAAAGATTTAGTTGGAAGGGCAGATGCTGTCTTTTTGGATCTACCTCAGCCTTGGCTTGCTATTCCTTCTGCTGGAGAAATGTTGAAAGAAGATGGAGTTTTGTGTTCATTCTCACCTTGCATTGAACAAGTGCAACGATCATCTGAAGCTCTTGCATCAAATTCTTTTACTGGTATGCTCTTGTACAATGTATACAAATATAGCACTTTCACTTCTTTAAAACCTTAATAAATAAAATTGCACTTTTAATATTAACATTTCACTTTTAATCTTATAAGTATTAAAGCATTGTACTTTGAAGAATTTAACTGTTTATAACATTGTATTTTCAAAAAAAAAAAAAAAAAAATCTTATTAAAATGTTTTGCTTTGAAAAGTCCATCCGTTTGCTTTGTATTTGGATGACATTGTTATAATTGGGTAAATCTCTCAAAGTACAATGATGTAAAAGAAAATTATAAAAGTAAGATGCTATAATATTAATAAGCAAATAAATGAAAGTATGTTTCTATTTCTTGCATTTAACCTAAACATACATGTTGGATATATTCAGATATAAGGACATTTGAGGTCTTACTACGAACATATGAAGTCCGAGAAGCAAAAATGGATCAATGTCAAACTGAAGAAGGGACTCCTGGGGCCCGCCCATTTAAGAGAAAGCAACGTGCAAGTGAAGCAAGTCATTGGCAAGCGGATAATTCGGGTTCCCCAATGGTCATGGCTAGGCCATCGGGTGAGGCAAAAGGCCACACTGGGTATCTAACATTTGCTAGACTTAAATGTATTGCATGAATCATGATGGCATAAGCCTAAGAGGCTTTTTCTTTTTGACTTAATGGAATCAATGAGTTAAGCTTTTAATCTGGACAATTATGTATGGTTGTTTCTTTTTTACTTAATCTAGATAGATGGGTTAAGCCAAAATTCAAAAAGTTGGCTTACTTGGATAATTATACATGGTTGTTTCTTTTTTTACTTAGTCTTGACATATTGACTAAATGGGTTAAGGCAGAAAAAACGTGGCGTAATGTATCGAGACACTGACCCTTTGCCTACTTGTCCACCTTTTTTTTTGCCGCGACTCCTCATTCTAACATTGATAAATATTATGAAAATTGATTGTTGGAATATAAGCATAAAATTTTCATTTAATCTTATCACACGATTTATTTGATCAAGAACACACTTTATGTATACAACATTTTATCCATATATTTCACACATGACTGAATTAGGAAAATAAACCTTAAGACTAAGTTAATAGAGACATGTATCTAAATTTTTGTAGTGAGCAGTCCTTTTCCGCTTTATTCGATATATGTTACAAAGTTCAAAACTTTATCTGATATAAGTTAATAAATATCATAAAGTCCAAAGCTTTATGCAATACACATCACAATGTTGGATTTTTTTTATTTGATATTACTTGATCTTTGTCAAGTTTGGCAGTTTGCTAAGAAAATAAAGGATTTCATTGTACAGTGAAGCATATAAAGGCAACAATTTATCCCATAGTAGTAGTTGCATTGGTAACAAAATGAACTTCAAACACAATCTTTTATCCCACCAAAAGGGAATAAAGACAAAAACAGAAATTCTAATATGTTAATGAAGTCGAAAAACAAGAACTTGAACTAAACCCCAAAGAAACACTATTGATATAGCATCTCCAAAAAATCCATCTCCTTCTTCAAATCAAATTCCAAATGACTAGTCAAATGAGAGGACACCTGGTCAAAGTCAAAGCTACTCTCGTTGACCATTGACCAACCCGGCACATAACCTTGCATAGCACCTAAATTAAAGTCCTCTAATGAAAACGATGGCATGGCATGCACATCAGATGAAAAGCCCATCTGCATAGGGGCGATTTGGGCATCAACATTTGTGTTGTTATTTTGTTTTTTGATGTTGTTGATTTGATCATCAGATGAAGAAGAAGAAGAAGAAGAAGATGAAGGGACACTTCTTATGTATTCTTGCAAAAGAGATTGGTATTTAGGCTTGCCACGTCTTCTAGAAGATAACTGTCTTCTTTTTGTTGCGTTCCAATGATTCTTAATGGTGTTTTCACTTCTTCCAGGCAATCTTCTTGCTATTTCTGACCATTTATTTCCAACTTCTTTGTGAATTGCTATCAATAACTTGTCTTCCTCCTCAGACCATGCATCTTTCTGCAAATATTTGTTTGTAACATGGTGAAACGATACCATAATAACTCATGTAGATGCATTTGACATTCCAAAAATTTGTTATAAGCAACGTATTTTCCTTGATTTGTTTATTAAAGTATCTTACTTTCACAAAAATAACCACTTTATGATGTGACATTTAAAAATGGTCCTTTTATGATGTGACATTTAACAAATTGACAACTTTATGAATTAAGAAATACCTCCCCACTACAATAAACCTTAACAAATTTTAATAAAAAAAAAATTGCTAGAATGTGGAAGGCATACCGTGATATCTGGCCTCAAATGGTTTTGCCATCTATCTCTGCATTGTTTTGCAATCCTTCCAGGAAGCTTTTCAGCAATTTTAGACCATTTGGTATCCCCATGCTGCGTCACCAACTGCACCAACAACCTGCAAATGTATTTAAAATAAAACTTTATGAAATTTAAATAAAAAAAAATAATAAAGGCTTCAGGGTTGCCTTATAAAACATTTGTTCACCTTGATGGTGGTAAAACAGCTTTAGTAAGAACAACCATTGGATCTATAAGTTAGTTTCTTATCTATTTTTTCATTAAAAAAATTGTTTTTATTTATAACCAAGTTTTATATTTTGAAGATTATAGAAAGTATAAACAGTATGTTTTATTTTTATTTTTTTTTTTAAACTAAAATTTCAGTAGTCCTGTTGTGTTTTTATTTTAAGATTGTAAAAAAAAAAATTTTCAGAAAAGTCTCAATATTTTCGTAAAAGTTTCACTTTAGTCCCAAAAAAGAAAATTGAACAGAAAAGTCTCAATTATTTGATTTTACACGATAATATGTCATTTCCTATTAAAAGGAAAAAAAAAAAAAAAACTTTTTGTTAATTTGAGCCAAAATGAAATTTAAAATAAATATTAATAAAGTTAGTAATAAAAAAGTAATTATTTAAATCAATTATAATTGATTTAAATAATTATACTTTTTTATATAAGAATAATTAGATGTTATTGATAAATAAGTAATTTTGCCATCATCAACCCCTTCAAAAATTCCTTCGCACTCCTCTCGTTTCATTCACACAAATTAAAACATTTATTACTTGAGTTGTTTATTATATTGATTAGTGTAAATAGAAAATAAAGTATCTAATTAATCACATTTGGTATTATATTACAGTTATTGATGATTGATTAAACGACCATTTATAAACGTTAAAAAAATAAACGGTCATTTAAATAAATCATATTTAGTAATTGTATTAAAATATAATATGCTTATATTAAGGAATCGTTACTTGTAAATAGTTATAAATGATTTGGTAGTTACTAATTTAAATTCAAATTAATAAATTTACAATTATATGGGAAAAAAAAAAGACAAAAAGAAAAGGAGAAAAAAACAACAATAATAATAATAATTTTAAACTTATTTTGTATTAAGATTAAAAAAAAAAAAAAAAAAAAAAAAAAAAAAAAAAAAAAAACCAACAATAATATTATTTGGTGTTTGAAGGAATTAGATCAATAGTTCATGTTTGGATTAAGCATGTTATGGGAAGGGAAATTTTATTTGGGGGAATGGCTAAAAACTCCTTTTTATTTTCTATAATTCTCAGCTGCAAAGTTGAATTGTAATCCAGCACCCTTTAGCTTCTTGTTAGGGGTTGCTTTTAATAAAATTTGCCGGTTCCAAAAAAAAATGGGTGTACAGAAAAATAAAAAGAAAAAAAAAACGCTCTTCCAATCAAAATTAGATGCCTAAATTAAAAACCTATACTAGATTGGTGTGTCAAAAAAATACCCATAATCATACATTTTAGTGTTTTTTTTTTTCATTAAGTATAGAGTCTAATTAATAACTAGATACGTATTGTGAAAAAAAGACCAACCAATCTAGTGGTGCCACTTGCATGAGAGGACGATTCGCCTGCTGCTTTTTCTTTTATCTTTTATAATTTTAATATTTTTTTTCTTATTAGTTATATTTCTTTGAATGGGTTTGATGTTATCAACTCACTCAAAAGTCATGTCTTTGTTCGGACGAGTTGTTTGTAGAATGTTTTTGGAAAGGATAGAAATTATTATAAGAATTGAAATTGAGTTAATCAAATGATGAAAACTGAATTGAATAATTTTATATTTTTAATTATATAAAAGGGTGTTTTGGTCTTTTAGTTATAAAGAAATAGAATCGTAGTAATGGTGAAACCATCAAACATGAAATTGAAAATTTAGCAACCAAACATGAAACATATCATGAAATGGAATCTCGAATTCTAATTACATCCATAAATCAAAAATGATCTTAAAGTTTTACATCAACTAGTTGAATCAAAATTCAAAGGAAAGGACGATTCTTTTACTGCTGTTTTTTTCTTTTTATAAATTTAATTTTTTTTTTTTTTTTTTTTGTCTTATTAGGTTGTTGGCTGTTTATTGGAGAAAAAAAAAATGAAATTATCAAGAAAGGTAGAATCAAACAATGAATATTGAATAATTTTATATTTTTTATTATAACTATTTTTTTTATATACATCTAAGGGTATATTGGTCTTTTAATGAGAAAGAAACGGAATCCTAGGAATGGTGAAACCATCAAACATGGAATTGGAAGTAATACGAGGGAATTGAATTCCATCCATTTGGCAACCAAACATGTCGTGGAATGGAATCTTGAATTCCAATTACGTCCACAAACCAAACATGCCCTTAAAGTTCTACATCAACTAGTTGGATCAAAATTCAAAAGGTGAGGGGAAGTTACCTGTCTTCATCAGAATTCCATTGTCCTTTAATGATTACAGGTTTCCTCCAACCTTTATTGCTGCTCTTCCTTTTTGCCTTGTTCTTCCTACAATTTCCTTTGTTTTGTCGCCCATTTTCACCACTTGAGTTCAAGCATGAAGCCTCTTTGGGTGAGTTTCCAAATGTTGCTTCAAACATCTGAAGATTGAACTGCTGAACAAATGTTGCTTGATCCATTGATTCCAAAGACTTCAAATTTTTTGGGCTATCAAAATCATGTTTGAATCCGTCTTCGACTTGTGAGGGGTTGAAGCATATAAAGAAGAAATCAACTCTTTAAAGTAACAATTAAGTGATGAAGCTTGATATGGATTGAATTTAATATAAGAATGAGTAGGTTCCAAAAAGAAAGGATTTTGGTTGGTTATTTGCATTGAATTAGGAAATTTATGATACAAATTATATGTGGTTTCTATAAGAGAATTGTTAACTAATTTATTTTGAAATATACCATATTCATTATGATGTCAAAATTTGCATTCAAGCCGTAAAACAGTTATGATAAGTTGCTATGCATCAACACTTGTTTATAATTCATTATCATTTCTACCTTTGATGTCAACCTGAATTATGTCCTCGTTTACATGTGGACTAGTTTTTAAAATTGTATTTAAATATTAATTTTGTTTATAAAGTTTTCAAAAGATCTAGGACAGAGTATTTCACATCAACACAACACGATGTGTTCAATATCTACTGCAACATAGCATTTTTGACTTGTTACCCAACTATCTTTTGCCAATGCTAGTGCTTGGTTATGAAACTAGATTTTACTTTTAAGCTACTTCTAATTTATCTAATTTATATACGATCCCCAAAGACCTGACTAGTTAGCATGAGGATTTCAAATATACATCAGTCACGTCAACGCATGCATTAAATGTAATGTGAATATTGATTAATGGTATAAAGAGGATTCCAATCCATTCACTTGGGTTTTGGCCACTTTCATTCTCTTCATTTTAGACAGAGGATATTATAATGTTTATAAATATATTATAAGATTTCATATTAAAGGCTAATTTGACTAGCCGTCAACCAACCATTTTATATATACGTATTTCGTATTCAGTCACTTTTGTATCATTATGTCTTTGATATAGCCGAGCCATCAACTTGAGAAACTTGTTCGCAAAGAAGCTTTCAGTAAATAACAAAGGGCTCAAAATTGGGCATTAATAGAACAAAAGAAAAGTGGTGAATCTATCTATCTATTATTATATTATCATCACTAGTATAACTTCGTAAAGCGTAACTTATTTTTTGTAATAACATAAAAAACCAAACAAATTTTTTTTCATTAATTTCTATTAAAATAACATGGAGACCCACAATTGACAATACAACAGTATCCAACAGTTGTCTATATATATGTATGTTATATCGACCAACCAACCAAAGTTATAAAAAACTGATACATACTTTGGCTAAAAAACTTGAACATCCATCTACTGGAAAACTACAATAATCTCTCTTTTCTTACCCCCAATTCTTTGTTTTTTTCTTTTTACCACAACAATACATAACAACACCCAACCAAAAAAATAAACAAAAAATAGAAAAAAAAAAAAAGGAAAAAGGTTTGGTTGTCCACATTACTACTTTACTCTCGAATCATACCTTCCTCCTCTTCATCAGCACCTGGAGCACGAAAGCGAGGCCGGAATCCATTTTTTGGTGCTAAACCAAACCTCTCAGGGCTACGACTCCTGCTGCGGGCCCTACCACCACCACCACCACCACCAACAACATTGCTTTCATCAAAACGTTTATGATTATTACTACTATTATTGTTATATCCACCACCACCAATCCTGTTGTTGCTGTAATCCAACAATAAACAAAAACACATTACCAAACAAGTTTACATTTTTCAGTTTTGGTCACAATAAACTTTTTTCTTACAATTCTAGTGTAAATTATTATGCAGTGGTTTTTCTAAAAACCTAACTTACAAAAACCTTACTTACAAGAATCTCAATTAAGGACCAAAAATGTAAATTAATGATAATACCTGTCACGGCCTCCACCACCACCACCCCAACTGCTCCTCCCACCAAAGCCACCGCCGCCACCACCACGGCCACCACCACCACCAAAACTAGAACCAGAACCCCAGCGGTTAAACCTGGCGCCTTTTCCACCGCCACGTGCCGCCATATTCCGAATCTCCACCGGGACACGTTGATTGGAGCCTTCCAATAATTTCACAAGTTCCGAAGCATGCTTTGAATCTTGATCCCCAAAAAACGTATATGCCTCTCCAGTGGCCCCCGCCCTCCCAGTCCTTCCAATCCTATGCACATAATCTTCAACTCCCGTGGGAAAATCATAGTTAATCACTACCCTGTTACAACAAAAAAAAAAAAAAAAAAACCCACAAATCAGTGGATATTCACCCCAATAAACCTTATTTTGGAAATGATTTAAGAAAAGAAGTAACATATCAATTAAAAGAACCCCAACTTCTAAAAAAAGGGCAAAACTGGAAATAAGTGAATAACCTGATGTCTTTGATGTCTAATCCACGAGCAGCAACATCGGTGGCAACGAGCACAGGGGACCTACCGGAGCGAAACTGATTCAAAACATAATCGCGTTCGCCTTGAGATTTGTCTCCATGAATAGCAGCAGCAGAAAACTGGCGGGTCAAAGTGCGTGCCAGCTGGTCGCACATCTTTTTTGTTGAACAAAAAATGATGATTTTTGCCCTTGGTTCTTGTGATCGAAGTATTTGCTCCAATCGTTTGTGTTTCTCCATTGGTGCCAATACCTCAATATGCTGCCAACCATAACCATATAAAAACATTTACAGGATGTCTCTTTTTGACTAACTAGGTTAAGCAGAATATTATAGTACCTGTGTAATAGCTTTGTTGGCAACGAGTTCATCTACATTTCCGATGTTGACTTGGATAGGGTTGACCAATAAATCTGCTGCGATTTTGCGGACCTCTTTTGGCCAGGTGGCAGTGTACATGAGGGTTTGACGGCGTGTGGGGACCATGTTGACTATTTTTCGTATTTGAGGTTCAAATCCCATGTCTAACATACGATCGGCTTCGTCCAAGACTAAGTAAGTAACCTGACTTAGGTTTATTCTTCTCATTTCTATAATGTCATTCAATCGGCCAGGTGTCGCAACCACAATGTCTGTCCCACGATCCAACTCCCGTAGTTGTGGGCCCTTTGGTGCTCCTCCGTACAAACACTGGAAATTCAAATATATTTTAACATATGAATGATGCATCAAAATTAATCAAAATCAAGTCAACAATAGTGATGGAATGGGTTAGTATTACATTTCATGATCACAATTGTTCAACAACTGTTCATTCCATTCCATCACACAAAACAATCTGAATGACCATTCTTTCCCTGAGATTATTATTTGACAATTTTGGAAACATACCGTGCATAGTATCTTTGATGATTTCCCAAACTTTATTGCTTCAGCTTGAATCTGGGTAGCCAACTCTCTTGTAGGTGACAAAACCAAAACAGTGGGGCCCATTTGGCGATTCTTGTAGACCCTTTTAAGATGAATAAACCCCGGAATCAAGTAACCCAATGTCTTCCCGGACCCCGTTTTTGCAATTGCTACTATATCACGGCTTTGAAGAGCAACAGGCCATGATTGTGCTTGAATTGGAGTGGGGGATGTAAACCCTGCCTCAAGTACCTGGAATAAAACCAAAGAACCAGCAACCTCCTTAAAGATATCTGATTTCATAGCATCTGGAAGAATCCAATAAGATTCCAGAAGTTTCCAGAAGGAGGAGGCCTCTTCTTTCAGTCGGACCAAACTGGCAAACAGAATCACCACCATCCACGACCATGGATGATTCGGAAAGCCCTTTTCAGAAGATTGGTCCACCGTATAAGAGTACTCCACATTACACCAGATTATATGCAATGCAATGCAACCCCTTTTCAAGAGAATAGGGTGGCAGCATAGCGTACGACATTTAGCTCCTTCCTGGAGCTAATATCGCACCTGGGAAAAAAAAAGTAAGAGATGGAAAAAAAAAAGTGAACATGAGTCTGAAAGTTTATGGAACTTCAGAAATCACAAAAACATTGCAGTGTACCTACTACTTCAAATAAGTTGCACAAGATAATGCTTAATCACCATGGACTGCATAAAAGTAACATAAAACATACCTCTCTAAGTAACTCAGATGGAAAACCAGTATCTTCAAATGATGTAAAAGGTGGAGGCACATCAGCTCCCTAAAAGAAATTTGAAAAAACAAAAAAAAAAAAGTCAATAACTATGAACCTGAGCAGATAAACAGATAAGCAGTGAATAAGATTTTATGTTACTTACAGTTACAGTTATCTCATGACGCTTACGATAAGCATCAGGTGATAAACCACTTCCACCTGGTCCAGCAGCAACTGTCCCATTTGGGGCATAAGACCCAGTTCTTGTACTCTGACATAAGATTAAAACAAGCCATTCATCAGTTATCTAGATTCCAGAACAACACAAGATAACAGACTCACTACAAGAGTAAAAGACGATGTGTGTAACATTAAAATTTGTCATACCTCGTAACCTCTTGTTCCAGAAGAGAGCTTTGATCCACCATTGCTGCTTTTACCATATCTATCATCATCAATAAAACCATTCTCTTGTTTTGAAGATTGTTGGACCTGAACTGAAGAACTTACAGCTACTGAAGATGATTTTTGTTGCTGACTTGAACCCTTAGACCCTGCTGAGGGCTTCTCATATTGGGTAACATTAGTTACTGGATTCCAATAGTAGTGATATCCAGTGGTTCCATCAACTAAACCTTTCCAAGGTTTTGGAAGAGAAGGGTCTTCTGGGGCATAGCGAGGAGCTGGAGTAGGTTCAGTTGTGGTAGCAGCCATATCAAAAAATCAATGTCACTACTAACTACACCAAACAAAATTCTTGATAAGAAACCAGGTTGGAATTGATAGCATAAAAAAACACAAAGTTATATTTAGTCACATGCTGATGCTGGACAAAGAGATAAGAAATGGCTACTATCTTAAAAATAACTTTCAAAGGTCGTTTGAGAAACATAACAAATTAAACAGGATAAATCCGATTCAGATTTACACCATACTCAGAAAAGTGCTTTGCGTGTACTGTAATCTGCTTTCTGTTTTGGGAATCCAGTACCAAAATACAGATAGACATATCATTCCAACTCATAAATGGTTAGCTACATACAAAGCTCGCGATGAATTATAATTAAAATATCACCACCACTTATTCTGTACCACTAAAAGACTCTAGAAATCAGGTCAAAATCCAACACAAGCGTGATGTCTAACACAAACTTCACTCACGAGGTAATATTGCACGAGCAGCACGACTAATATCTCAAATATATTTTTCCAAACTCATCAACGAGAAGACATGGAGTTATACATGATATGTCAGGATGAAAATCTTAATGAGAAAAAGGGTTTATGTTTATATTAAAACGTATTCAGTTTTAGGGGTTTGTGGAGTTATACATGAGTACATGACATGTCAGGATGAGAAACTCAAGGAACCAGGTCAGAAATCCGTACAAGCATAAAGTTTAAAACCGTAAGACTAATACCTTGAAGATACCAGAACCGCTATAGAAACATGCAAAGTTCAGATAAAACCCTAATTCGGAAAAGTTTGTGGACATAATAAACCGTATTCCGTTTAGAAGTTATCAAAAAAAATCAAAATCTGACATCAGATCTGAGACGCGTTTATGAACCCTAATATGAAATTAAAACAAAATAGAAAGTACCTGAAGGCGTATCGATAGGAACGGGTAAATCAGGGGATGATTAGGTTAGTATTAAGAGACGCAAACCTCCTTTTTTGCGATAATTTTCCTCTCTCGTAGATGTATGGAAAGACGAGGCAGGAAGAGAGGAAAACACGCTTTGAATGGAGGAAAAGCGGAAGGAAAGAATCTAGCTGGGAAGGAGGAGATATTTATAGCGATACTATATAGTAAGTAGGGCGTATCAAGCCAATGCAAAACACTTGACTTTAAGTCGGTGGGATACAAATGAAATTGTATGACCTACCGCATTTACTATCTCTTACGCCCCACAAATAAATGTTTTTATTTATATCATCTCATTGTAATGTGATATATTTTTTGATTTTTATGTATTTGGTCACTGAATTTTTTTCGTTGATATCAATTTGTTAAACTGTACAGATTTAATCATTATGACCGGTTACTCCAGGTTAGCCTAGAAAAATGACTTAATAGATTAATATATTTCTCATTTTGTACACATTTAGTCCTTAATATTTTTGTACACATTTAATCATTAATATTTTTTTGTTTCAAAATAAGTTATTTTTTGTTTTTGTACTCATTCAGTATTTATTAATGTGGAACAATCATTGATGAAGTGTGTAGGGTTGTTAATGTTTATGTGTAATGTCTCATTTTCACAACCAAAAATTTTTATCTTTAAATGAGTCAAAAAGTTCCTAATTATAATTCCATTATTAAGAAAAAAAAAAGTTTATTCCAAAATACATTTATCGAAAATCAGAATAATATAAGAAACGCGGATTCCTCAATACTATTGATGAGTGTGTACAGTCATGCATTCGTCTTCCCATGATCAACGATAGAACCTGAAAACATAAACAATTGGGTAAGCATAAAATTTAGTGAGTTTTTCCCAAAATACCCGATACAACAAATGTATTATCATGCATAACCGACCCACACTGATCAGATTGGAATACTTTGGCTTAATCAGTCATCAGATTGGAATGCCAACATGCAACAGATCCAATCAGTCATCGAACTCGAATGCCTTAACCCTACCGCTCTTCTCGAGCCTTCGTGCCTACGACTTACAGCCGACTTGCATCAGGTATCTTGGCTTACAGCATATAGCAGGATCACCTCAACCTATCACATCACCATATGGCTATCCCACGTAAGATGTCGCGAGAAAAAACTAAAGAAATCATTCATAAGTATTGAATGAATACAAAAACAAAAATGACTTATTTTGCAATGAAAAAAATATTAAGGATTAAATGTGTACAAAAATATTAAGGACTAAATGTGTACAAAGTGAGAAATATATTACCCTATTAAGTCATTTTTACCGGCTAACTTGGAGTAATCGGTCATAAGGACTAAATGTGTACAGTTTAACAAGTTGAAGGGGTAAATGTGGACGAAAAAAATTAGTGACTAAATGTGTACAAATCAAATAATATATGACCCTTTTAAGTCATTATCCTCATCTCCAACCCATTCCCATTTTTTTTTCTTGAAAATGAAGTAAAAAATAAGATAAATAGTATTTCATTTCCAACCCTATTCCATTTTTTACCTTATTTTTACCCCCAAAAATAAATTTTCTTAATATATTCTATTTTTTCAGCTTATATACATTATCAATCATACCCTTTATACTAATTTGGTTTTAACAAATACATAATTTATATTTTTTTCATTGCAATACTATTAAATAAATAATACTATATTTATAACACCTAGTTATAAGCTTTTGTAAAATACATTATCATATTTTAAATTTTCAATGTGTATTTAAATTTTTATATGAATTTGATAAACAAAAAATAAACTTTATATTTATAATTAATTAATATAACTTAATATATAATACAATATTATAAGTACTAAATAATACATTTAAATTATAATTAGTATATAAAATAAACTAATAAAGTAAAACTCGTACGTCAATATCTCAAAAACAATAGCAAAGTATTACGAGAAACTGTATCAAGACTGTATCAATTCACATCTATGAAAAGCAAAAAAACAACTCCCAGGACAACTGAAACTGTGGTGTGTGCGATGTCATCAACCCGAGCTCTTCCCTTTACTTGCGGAAGTACCTGAAACCAAAACTAAAATTGTAAGCACAAAGCTTAGTGAGCTCCCCCAAACTACCACACACCACACAATAACATATAAACACATACTGGGCCTTGCCCACTGCATCAGACCGAAGTCCGGAACTAACCAGGGCCTTGCCCTCTGCATCGGACCGAAGTCCGGAACTGGCTGGGACCTTGTCCCCTGCATCGGACCGAAGTCCGGAACTAACTGCATCGGACCGAAATCCGGAATCTGACTGAGCATAACATAGCATAGCACAACATATCAATTAGCATAAACATATAAACTGCATACTGCATCGGGCTGTGGCCCGGCACATAACACATAAATCCTGTCTGAGCCACGAAGGCATCAAACATAATAAAACTGCATCGGACCGAAGTCCGGAAACTACTACTAGCTAAACGGGTCGGCATTGTGGCCTTAGACTCGTTCCTACTGGAAGGAAACTCACCTCGTACACTGGCTGCTAAATGAACTGCTCTGGAAATCGACTACTGCTGCTCCGGTATCTCCCCGGCTACAAATTTCCATAAATACACTCTATCAATTACTGATAATTATACTGAGGGTAAAATGACTATTTTACCCCTGGTCAAAGTCAACCTCCAGTTGACCGGACTCGCCGAGTCTGAGGAACTACTCACCGAGTCTGAGGAACTACTTGTCGAGTTCTGTCGAGCAGATTCCATACAACTACATTTGAATCCGCTCTATGGTTCTTAACTCGTAGATCTGAAACCTTGGAACCATCTGAACACGTAAAGTTGCTAACTTTACGTGTAACTACGAAGGAATGAAGCCTCCCTATTCAAACACCACTTTGCTTGGGAAAACTCATCCGACTCGCCGAGTTGCTCATACAACTCGCCGAGTTCTAAGGCAAACTTCATCGGACTCGCCGAGTTGTTCTTCCAACTCGTCGAGTCGATGACTAACTTCATATAACTCGTTGAGTCGACCTGTGGACTCACCGAGTTCCTTCAGCCCTTTTTCCATACAGGTCCGATCTAAGCCATGTAACTGCTACAAATCGTGGATCTAGACTTCTAGGGCATGTTTTTCACGTAAAGTTGTTAACTTTACGTGCATGCATGGATTTAAGGGCTTCATATGACCAAAATAAGCTCTTAATGAGGTTCTAGGCTCAATGGGGACTTTAATCACAACCACAACCAAAACTTTATACTTCTAGCATGCCATGAGTGTCCAGATCTGAGATGTAACCCGACCACAAGGCCTATTCATAAGGGATTTAGGGTTTTTGGGCTTAGAAACCACAATTTAGGAACAACATAGATCTATATGATCAATATGAAAGGTATAGAATTTAATACCAGAAAAGTGTTGGATTAGTGTCTAAGTCCATAACTATTTTGGTATGTACTTGACCCGATGGTGCATGGTCCTTTTGGGTTGCCTTCACCAAAGCAACTTGATTGGAGAAATAAATAAAGAGAGAGAGAATATTATGATTTATTAATATGTTATAAGAATAATATATTAAAGGAGAAATCATATTTGTTTAATTAATATTGGTCAATAATTAATTAGGAATTAATTTTGTGATCAAATGTAATTAATTAAACTAGAGGGGCTGATTTGTAATTATGTGATAGTTACAAAATAAGGTAAGGATTATCTTAAATATATGGTGAACGAATTTGAGGTGATAAGGCCTTAGAATTCGACTATGATAAGGATTCAAGGATTATCTTATGGGTTGCTTTGTGGATAAGCAACTAGATAAGAATAATGACTGAAACCCTATCTATACACCTATATAAACACCCCTTGGCTCATGAATTCGTGTATCCCTTCCCAAGAGGTCCTAGAGACGAATTATCATACCTCTCCTCTCTCTTTTTACCTTCTCCATTTGCTCTTGGTGTTTGTAAGCCATTAGAGGAGTGACACTTGTGACTCTAAGCATTCCAAAGTCAATTCAATGAGGAATTGGGATTGTTATTGCTACATAACAATCAAGGTATGATCTTAAACCTAATTACATATTAATATGATTACTTGAATGCTAGAATTAGGGTTTATAGTCTTGGATAACTTGCATGTACAATAGAGAAACCTAGATCCAAGCATTAGGGTTTATATGAGCACATAGGATGTCTTATGACCAAAACCCATCAGTGGTATCAGAGCCTAAGATGGTTTCAATTGTATTGATGCATTGTATATTTGAAAAATTCGTTTTTTGGTGTATTAGAGGTTGGACTCGCCGAGTCCAGGGTGACTCGACGAGTCCAGGCTTGACTCGACGAGTCAACTCGTCAGAAGTGCTTATCTCGGGATTTCTTGCTGTTTTTGCATTAGGATAGTTACCTTATCATGTTAGATCAATATAAATCCGATTTTATGATATATATGACTATATCCTTGATCTAATTAAAGATAATTATCAATTAATAAAATATTTGTTTCCTTATATGATAATTGATTGATTATTTTTTATTAAATTGATAAATTGTTTTGCAAGAAATCATTAAATAAATCAAATATAGATAATTATGTGATTAAATGTTAATTTAGATTATTTATTATTTGATCCTTGTTATTATGAAAAGTTTCATATTTTACCATTTAGGTTTTATAGTTTAAATTTGAACCCAAAAGTTTTGTTGTTTTGAAATTTAAATAGTTAAAACCCTAATGTTTTGAAAAAGGTTTCAAAACTTGCCCTCAAGTTTTGGAATTTAAATTTTGATTAAAAAGTTTAATTTTGATGTATATTTAAATTCTAACCCTAATGTTTTGAAATGTTTCAAAACTTGCCCTCAAGTTTTGGAATTTAAAAGTTGATTAAAAGTTAATTAGGAATGTTAAATTCTAAAACCCTAGAAATGTTTTGAAAAGTTCAAATACACCCTTATGGTTTTATTAATTAATTAAGAAGTATAATTAAAAGAGATTTAATAAATCCATAAAAGTTTAGGTGATAGCTTCATTTTATTTACTTATTTTTATAGTTTATTTTAGTACATTTCATTCGCATTTTAGTTAACTTTCATGCATATTTTCCCTTTTGTTATTTTTTATGACCATTTCGGGGTACTTTCTAGTTTCTTGAGCATTATTGCAGATTTTCTTGGAAACTAGCGGGGCGGCACTCTTGCGAGGCGATTGGGCTTGAAGGGAAT